TTGCATTTCCTTTGTTTCTTCCGGATTACTTCTATATGCTGCCTTGTTAGGTAGTGGAGCTCCCGGAATAAGATCAATTTGATGTTCAATACCACGAATTGGTGGTAATCCCGGTGGTAATTCACTAGGAAAAACATCACAATACTCTTGCAATACTACTTCTAATTCCACGGGCCTCTTTTCTTGTTTACTTTCATTCACTTGCACATTGTTAGCCACCATAATATATACTATATTGTTGTTGTTGATCTCTTTCTCCAACTCCTTTTCCCCAATTAAATATGCACCTTTTGAACTAGGGTTAATTCTATGATCAACAAGTGGTTTCAATGCATATGATTTTTCCCCCTTTCCTTTTCGAATTATATACACATTTGTCCTACCATTAAACTTGACAAATCTATCATATTGCCATGGTCTACCCAATAAGATATGACAAGCATCCATAGGGCATACATCACATAAAACTTTATCATGATATTTGCCAATTGAAAAGGTGATTAGGGCTCGTTTCGTTACCTTCACGTCACTAGCATCATTGAGCCAATGTAGCTTGTAAGGTTTTGGGTGATCGGTTGTAGGCCACTCTAATTTGTTGATCAAAGTTGTAGACACCACATTTGTGCAACTTCCCGAGTCTATTATTACGTCACACAATCGATCTTCCACCTTGCACCTTGTTAAAAAGATTTTCTCTCTTTGATTCTCTTCAACGGGCATAGGTTTAGAGTGAAGAGCTCTCCTTAGAACCAAGCTCTTTCCTTGCGTTTCACCATCAACCTCTTCGGCACTACCCTCCTCTTCTTCAAAATCACGTTCTTTCTCGACCACAACCTCCATGTCACTATTTCCCTCGCACCTAGCTTTCTCTTCTTCCCATTCTTGAGCCGTCATAGTGCGTTTTGAGTAGCAATTGCTTGCTATGTGGCCAACACTCCCACATTTGAAACATTTTCTATCTTCGGTCACCTTCTTGCTAGCTTCGTTTCTGGGTTTGTTATCTTTAGCATACGGATTAGGAGAAGTCCTATCAAAGGTAGGCTTGTCACTAGCCTTTGTGAACGTGCGTGTGAACGGTTTCACACTTGAGGTCTTCTTGGCCTTGAATTGTCTTTCAACCTTAATGGCCGCCTTGCATACTTCTTCAAACGAATAGTATTCGTGCAATTCAATCTTCTCTTGAACATTTTCGTTCAAACCTGCAATAAAACGTGCTATTTTGTGCTCTAGAATTTCTTCTAAATCACACAATAAACATAGTTTCTCAAACTCACACAAATAAGCCTCCACGGATTGATTTCCTTGCTTAAAAGTCTGCATCTTGAGATACACTTCTTGCACGTACTCATGGGGCACAAATTGACGCTTCATATATTTCTGCAATTGTGTCCAAGTAGTGATCTTGGATCGTCCCTCCTTGCGTCTCTTTTTCTTGAGATTATCATACCATAAACTCGCATAACCTGTGAGTTTTAATTCAGCAAGTTTGCACCTCTTTCGTTCATCATACTCCTTGTAATCAAAGAGTGTTTCGGCTCTTCTAACCCACTCAAAATATTTTTCGGGGTCTAGCATACTACCATTGAATTCCGGAAAATCTAACCTTATATTTCGGTCATCATCTTTGGCCTTGTTCTTCCGTCTATGCCTTCTAGGTTCATCACTCGAAGATGAATCTTTATGTCGTGATCTACTTGCTTTTCTCCTGTCATATTCGTCTTCACTTGAACTAGAAATTGCAACTGATTTGTTCTTCCTTGAAGATGAAGTTTTGTCACGTTCGTCAAGCCTAGCCAATACTTCTTGCAATTGTTGTGACAATCGCTCTATTTGACGATCCCTCCGCAAGTTATGCGCTTGATCAAGGTTCAAACCCCTTGGAATCCCTGGGATTTCTTCGTCACTCATTGCTCCTACACAAACCAGGTTGGTTATGCAAAAATCTTGATTAAAAGATCAAATCTTGAAGGAATCTTGAAGCAAACAAAAACCGGACTCCCAACCACAACCCAGTGCAACAACACCAAAAGTTTAAGGCTGTACAGAGTTCGTTACTCAACCAAAAGCTACGAAATTTTATATGGTGATAGCTAGACGTTTTTAGAGACTAATGCAAAAAGAATCACTCAAAAATTCCCAGCCAAACGTTACCAGTTTATTTTCTACCGAAACCGTGCTCTGATACCAAGATGATGTGATTTTTAGTCCGAAAACTAAGCCTCACAAAGATATGAATCTAACCTAATTCTATACAGAAAATTCACCAAGAATTAAGCAAGAAACTTAGATTAATTAATCAAGAATCCACCTAATTAATCAACCTAGGTGATTGTTTTAACTAAAACAAACAAAACAGCAAATTGGAATCCACCAATCAAGAATTTAAGTAATCCAACTTAAACAAAAGCAATAAGAAATATTATTATGAATGTATGATTAAACTTGTATATTATTCGAAGATTACAACCCTATATTTATAAACTCAATCAATTATCCTAATCCCACTTGAATTAGAATTCTAATCCCCTAACAAAAACCCACGGATTGCATAACTTAATCAAGTTTAGATAACTTTGATTTAGTTATTTAATCCTACTTAAACTCTAACTACTCTTAAGATAAAACTTGCCTATTTTATCCTAACTCAAACTTGCACTCCAAGCTATTATTGACGCCTACTAGACTAAAACAATTCCTAATGCAATTAGAAATCCTAAGTGCTTAAAACAAGAAAAACCCTTTCAAGTGAAAGGTAAAAACTTGTAAGCAAAAACCTAAGAAAGCTTTTAAAGAAACCTTAAAGAACTATCAAGAAGCTTCAAGAACTCCCAAGAACGCCACCATACAAAGCGTGGCTTTGTCTTGATGCCCCCGATAGTAAGTTTGACCTATTGAAGAAGCTTCCAAGTATAGATTCATGCTTTCTTGACTTTCTTGGAATAATTCTTCAACATGCTCATCGTTCACATTGATGCACGCATCAGTAATTCTTCAGTAAGGTCAAGTGATCGGAATGCCTAGGTGGAGGCCGCTTCCGATCAGTAATATCAAGGTACAATTGATATTACAACTTAATCTTAACTGAACCCTTCGGGTCGAACCCATTCGAATCTCTGATCCGAGACGTTGAATTAATCCGAAAGGATTTAATGAGTTGACAGAGTTTTACGAATACAAACGTCGGAAATCGAGCCTAGGGCGTCGATACCGAGCGTCGCAAAATCACAAGCAACAAGTATGAGCGTAGCCGTAGCTAGGCTAGGCTAGCTCGTAGCATGCCTAAGTGCACCATGTGTGTGCTAGGCACCATCGCAGCCTAGGCGCACCTTAACAGCCCATCGCAAGCTAACATGGGTGCCTAGGTGCGCATGGCAGCCATTGCAAGCCACACAGGCACCAGGCAGCCCATAACAGCTAGCAAGCATGCTAGCGTGGTGCCTGGGTGCATGTGGTGCCCTATCGCAGCGCACAGGCCTTGCTAGGCACCATCGCAAGGCCTGGCACCACGCACAAGCACCATCGCACTGCCAGGGGCATGCGTGTGTGTGTGCATGTGTGCCTCGCAGCCTCGCACAGCAGCCACGCAATGCGTGTGGGCTGGTGCGTGTGCGTGCAATGGATGGCTAGGTGCTAGGCAGCAGCACCACACATGCATGTGCGTGTGCGTGTACGCTTGCCTCGCACCAAGCACAAGCAGTGCTAGGCACTGGCTAGTGCGAGTGTGTGCATGTGCGTATGGGGTAGCAATTGTGTGGGCTGGCAATGGGTGAGGTGCAGCGATGGACGCGAGCATATGCGTGGTGCGTGGCGCGTGGCTGGTGCGTGATGCATGTGCGACCAGCCAGTGCGTAGCATGCGAGGCCAGCACCAGCGATGCGCAGCTAGCACTGGCTGTGCTAGCGATGCGATGCAAGAGGGAGATGCGTGGTGCGATAGGCAGTGCTGGGCTGCCAGCAGCAGCAGCGCCTAGCACTGGCCAGGACCAGCGCCTAGCATGGCCTAGCACCAGGTATGCGAGGCAGCTAGGTAGCACCATGCTAGCTGGCTGGGCTGGCCAGCGCCATGCTAGCTGGCAGCAGCCCAGCATGCCCATTGTATGTGGCGGTTTGAGGGAGTGGGGACCAATTGGCTTAGAGCATGCCTTGGGGGTCAAGGCAATGGTCCCCCAAGGTTTATGGTCCTCACCTAACCTTCTCTCTCTATTTGACACTTGTTGCATTGTGATTAGTTTTGCTTAATAATTTATTTTAGAAATAAATTAATTAGCAAAATGCATTCTCCCACATTAGTGGAGGATGAAAAATCAAGGGATCATTTCCCTATAAATACCAAGCCTTGTATTGGGATTTGAAACAACCTTGAGTGGAATTAAAAAGGCAACTCTAAGAAAAGAGTAAACCTTTGATTCGTAAAACTCATAGTTATTTTGTCTGGGTCTTGACTAACCTTCAAGACTTAGGACGCCTGGGTCGAGTCGAGGGTACGATCCGTCGGAGATCTCGTCTTTTCGAGATTTTGAAGTAAGAGCTCCTTGGGAGCGAAGCACGCGTCAAAGGTATAATTCTTGTTCTTAATCTTGTTTGATTAAGTTTATTATGCTTGTTTAATTGCTTTAATTAAGGGGCGGGTCTTGGTGGGTTTCCTTCCGCGTAGTGTCGGGTCACTACGAAACCCTACATTGGGGGGCACTCCTACGAAGGTGGAGTAATGACCAGTCTCGTGATGTGACGGTACCAAGCTATGTACTCTGTCATGCCCGGGGAAGAAGTCCCAGTGAACGGGTTTCCCTAAACGACTAATGCCTCTCGTCGACTCCACTTGTGTACATGGTCCGAATGCCGAATCTCCCAATTACGTTGTCCCCTTCGATCCTTCTTGTGTAGCGCAAGGTCCGTGTCTACTACCTGTGGGATCGGTTGCTCTAACCCGAACTGATGAAGGACTCGGTCTGGGAGGTGGAACTCAACGACGTCAAAGAAAATCAGAGGTGCTCGTGTACGTCAAATGTGCATGTCTAAACGACAAATCTCCAGAAGTCGGTCCATCACCGCCTCAGTATATGGCTGCCAAATCATCTAATTCCCAAAACAAGTATGTCAACATGTATATAACTAATATAATTGAAGAAAAACAATGCACAAAAAAAAATAAACACCGATTATACCTGGTCCTCACGCTGATGGTCAAACGCATCTCGGTAATATGATAGTCCAGAAGCAGTATGCGCACACGAGAGATGGACTCGTAACCACCTGTAAAAAATCGTTAATAATAATTCTCGACAGACAAAACTGTAAGAACATGAACTTAAAGCAAACATTTTACCTGCATGCCAAAGGGTCAACACCTCGCTGATGCTGAGTCCCCAAAATGACATCCTCATCCTCAAGGTCCTCCTGTGGCGGATCTCGAGGCCACCTAACGTATGGTCGAACAATAGTAGTGTGCTCCCACGACCACAGATGTAGTAGGATGAGTGGGCCTCCAATCTGTCTCGATCCTCTCTGACATGCTCGACATAGCTGCCGGTACAAAAAACCAAGAGTCGCACTCCCCCAACTGTAGGTCGAAGCTGTCTCCCAGTCTCGAAGGAACGGCAAGTAGTAGAGTGACACAGCATCGCCACTTTTGTCGGCGAAGAGAATAGATCCCATGAGAGTGAGAATGTAAGCACGGCTATATCGCTGAACGGTCAAGTCATCAGCTCCCTCTGACATCTGTGAGAAGTGACGTCTGAGCCACGTCAACTTCAAAGTAGATCCCTCTAAAAATGGCTTACCGTTATCATCAAAGCCAGGTCGAACTCCCAGCAACTCCTCAATTAGGTCATGCCATCCCTCAAACGGAGGTCCAATGACAGGTGGGTCGTGCACTCTCAGAACTAATAGCACGGCGACATCCTGTAAAGTAATGGTGCCCTCTCCTACCACAAGATGGAAAGTATGTGTCTCCTGCCTCCACCTCTCAACCAACGCCGTAAGAAGAGAACGGTCAAGCAAAAACCCTCCTCCCAAAATCCTATGCACACCGTAAAACCAAGCAAGCCTAACGTACTCTAGTACTCCACCCTCTACCCTCCACTCATGTCCCACGCTGACCACATGCTCCCTAACTGAGAGAACTCTATCAGCTACGCCAGACCAAACATCATGACTCCTATGGGAAGTCTGCAACCGTAGAACAGATGGATCTATTGGGCCTGGTGCAATCACCGGATCCATGGGACCTACATGATAACAGAAAATTGAATTAATGTTAAGCGTGCGAAAAAAAACATAAATATTAAACAAGATTAAATAATTAGTCATGTTAGCAATAATTAGTCGTTACCCAGATGATCCAACACCACCACTAAAAGTAGGACATGTATTTTTGTTATGCCCAGGTCGCCGACAAACACTGCATGCCTTCTTCACACGATAGCGACGCTCATCCATTTCATTTCGGATTCTAGTGGACCGTTGGCCTGGGCCTCTTTTCAAATCTGGGTTGGCCATGGTAGTAGGCCCATTGTAAGCTGACAAGTGGCAAGGATCAGAAACTGGTGCGAAACACTTCGAGTATGAACGTCTATATTCGGCGGTCCTGAAAAAAGAATCCACAAACTCTGCGTGTGATAGGCTTCGATGACGACAAACTGCTAGGACGTGAGAGCATGGCAATTTGTATATTTTCAATTTCTCACAAGTACATGTCTTGCTCATCAAATTCACAGTGTGGGAGTTACCACCTTTACCAGCTTTTCTCCTTCCACGACCAGTCCTAACCTGATACAACCCGATGGCATCATAGTCAAAAGCAACAACCTCATGGTGCGTGGCTTTCTCCATGTTGGCTTCTATTGTCTTCATAGCCTTTTCCGATAACTCATGGCCCTCTTCAAGTCTTCTTTTACTCCAACTTCGTCTAGTTGCAAAATAGGAGTTAACTCGGAAAAAGGTCATTTGCACTAAAGAGGTTATCGGGAGACATCGAGCCCCTTTTAAGACTCCGTTGAATACTTCCGACATGTTTGTAGTCTTCACACCAAACCTGAAACCACCATCATGATGAATTGACCACTTTCTGTACGGAATTTCCATCAAGTACCTACGGGCCTCTACATTCAAGTCACCAATTTTTTTCATGTAGTAATCAAACTTCTTCTTCTTCCTTGCAGTAGCTGCTTTGCCAAAGAGGTTCTTTATGAAGACACTTTTAAATTTTGAGTTCACATTAGAAGCCAAGTGTCGTGTGCAGTACTTGTGGTAGGCATTGGGCTCCTCCCAACCACTTCCAACCTCTTCCATTGCTGCTAAAATACCAGCATGTCTATCAGATATCACACATAGCCCTTTTCTATCTGTTACTCAAGCTCGAATACAAGCCATGAACCAAGACAAGCTATCATTGTTTTCTCCTTCAACAACCGCAAAAGCAAGGGGGAATAGTTGAAAATTAGCATCGATTCCCATAGCAATAAGTAGAGTCCCTTTGTATTTTCCATACAAATGAGTTCCATCAATGGTGATAAGGGGCCTGCAATGACGGAATCCATCAATACACGGCTTGAATGCCCAAAAAACTCGTTGAAAAATATGTGTACCAGGAACCGTACTCTCTAACAACCTCCACTCAACAACAGTTCCAGGATTTGATTCCTTGAGAGCTTGCATGTACTTAGGCAAATGTTCATATGAACCCTCCCAATCCCCATAGATGAGTTTTATTGCCTTCTGTTTCGCTAGCCATGCTCTCTTGTAGGTTATTTGGTACCTCCATGATGCATTCTAGAAAACACTATGATTAGTCAAAGATATTAGTGTTGAAAAAATTTATTTAGAGGACCATGAATAAACTACGCTATACTTAAGCAAAATATATTATGACATTCACTAGGCAATTGGTTTCACCAAACAACACCAACTTCACCAAATTATTTGACAATTGCAAAAAAAAAAAAAAAAAAAAAAAAAAAAAAAAAAAAAAAAAAATTATCACACAAAGACAGTAACATTCTGCCAACACCAACTTCATGGTGTTTTGCCTATGGCTAGATTTACTACCAACTTTTTTTACTTTCCTGGAACACTTGCAGTCAAGGAAATTTTCATCATCATACCAGATGTACCATACATCTAAGCCTTATTTTCAATTTATTCCATGTCAGGATAGAGATATAGTTTGCACTTTGCTTGCTTGCCTATTTTATTCTCCTAAAATCTGTCTTTACCTTTAAACCAAGGGAAAAGAAAAACTACAACACACAAATACAAGTAACATTCACAATTTCAATACTTCACCCCAATTTCAATGCAATTCACCAAATTCACGACCAACAACAACAACAAATTCACGAGCAACACCACTTCCACCAGAATTCACCATATTCACCACCAAATTCAAGTATTTTTCGGTAAAAAAAAAGAAATTAGGGCAAGATTCACTTACCAAATGACGGAACAGCAACGCGCAATATTCAGTTGGTGGTCTGAGATCGGCGTCGGCAACAACCTTCGTGCACAATGTGGCGTTTTCCAGCAACACCAGCGGCTTTCGGCGGTCTATGTGGAGTCGGCAACCAGCTAGGGGAGGATTGGCGCGTTCTTTGTTTTCTGGGAAGAGAGACGTTAGAAGTGGGGGAAGTGTGTGTGAAACTGATTCTGTAAACACGAAGAAGAGAACTTTTAAAAAAAATTCATTAAACAAAACCGCTACTTCAAGTAGCGGTTATATATAGCGGTTTCATTATATGAAACTGCTACTTGAAGTAGCGGTTTTTTACAGTACACCGTTACTTCAGTTTGTAAACAAACCCAGTTCAAATATCTTTCCTCCTGAATCGGTGACGTGGAAGGTAATACGGGAATAAAAATAAAAGTAGCTGTGTTTTGGGAATTGCATAGCTTGTCAACAATATTTAAAGAAAGAGCTCGATCATCAGATTGGGAAATTTATGGTTTATATTCTTATTGCTTGGTCAATGGGTGGAAGCCCTCTAATAGCTCTCATGTAGTGTTTTTAGTCTTACTATTACTTTGAGTTGTGTGATTGAGTGCCTTGAACAATCATGTCAGGACATCACTTACCTAAGAAACTGGTCGAAACTATAACGTTTTAACTGCCATATGATTTTGCATCCCTTGCGTGCCAATCATGCTGGAGGATTTGTTTTGCTCTATGTTGATGGGAAATAGATGAATCATACACATTCACAATGCTCCTTATTTTCATGCCTCCAAACTAGTCAATTCACTAGGGACTTTAGGAGCTTGAATTGAAGAGATGTTTGTATGAATATGCTTGATTGGTTATTGCAGTAGCAATTTGTAATTATCTTGTTTTTTCAACCTTCTGTTTTCAGAACTTGTTGGGACTTGATTTGCTTATCATTCTTTAGCACTACTAGAAAACACCTTATTTATGACGGAAAATATCAGTCGGAATACCTTCTAAATCCGTCGGAAAAGGAAGTTTCCGACGGAATTCCGTCGGAACAACTTATCGGAAACCACTTCGTAGGAATTTTGGCTAATACCGAGGGAATTTTCGTCGGAAATTACAATGCCGACGGAATTTCCGACGGATTATATATTGTCGGAGCCTATGTTTGACCAAAATTGGAAGTCCGTCGCAAGGTTCCGACGGAACATATTCCGTCGGAAAGTTACTCAGCTTCCGACGGTATATTCCGTCGGAACCGTCCAACCTTCCGACGGAATATTCCGTCGAAAGATAAGCTCCTTCTGACGGATAATTCCGTAGGAAGTAGGCAGCTTTCCTACAGAATTTTCCGTCGCAACCTACCGACGGAAAAGTCCGTTGGAAAATTATACCCATTGCGACGGATTTTAATTCCGTCGGAACCTTGCGACGGAAATGCCGACAGAATTATTTCGAGTTTGACTATTTTCCTACGGCACATTGCTACCCTTTGATACCTGTACTTCCTGCTTCTTATATTAACGACAGAATAAAATTAATGGTTTTTGTGCAAAAATAATTATATATATACACTAATTCCAATCTGTACAGCCAAGTAATGTAATCTAAAATTAGTACTAATAAACACTACGTTAATTAAAGCTAAGCAACTGTGGGAGTGCCCTGGCCTGCTCCACCACTACCCGGGTCGTCGTCCCTGGGATCTCGAGGAGGTCGCACGGTGGAACATGTGTCATTGGGGAAACGACTCATCATCCTCTCTTCCCACCTCCTCTCCATTTCTTCCATTTGGGCTTTTACCGAGGCTTGAACTCGGGCTTCCATCTCGAGTTCCATTTCTTCCCGAAGAGCCTGCACTTTGTTTTCCATCTGATCCTGCATCTGAGAAACAAGGGAGGGCGTGTACTGGAGGGAAGATGTGGAAAGTCGACCCATCTGGCTGCCATAGTAAAGGTCAGCACTTCCGCCAAGTCCCTTCACACGTCCTTTTTTGTTTCGACCACCCACGATCTCCCAGCACAGCTCATTCGGACTCTTCTGAGTCCTTTGAGTGCTAGCCTCCTCAACCCTCTTTCGGTAGGCCTCCTACAAGATAAACATATGAAAAGGAACAAACGAGTTAGTAAGTTATATAAATAAGCTTTGGGTACCATATTCATGAAAAAATAAACCAAGTAACATGACATAGGTGACTTCTACTTAGCCCAATTACTTCATTTCTTAGGAAATGAGCTCTTTTTTTCTCATTCCATATCAATTAAACATAGTTTTAGGTCTAAAGTGCTTGAATTGACAAAAAAAAAAAAGTAACAAAGTTTTACGTACAATATTAATGAAAAACGCACCAAGTATGGCCTCAGTGACTTCTATGGTGCCTGGGCGAGGCATGTGTGTGCATAGTGCGCAGTGCCAAGGCTGATGCGTGAGGGAGTGCGAGAGTGTGTGCGAGGGGCTGGCAAGCTAGCAAGCAACGTCAAGCCAAGCATGCGTGGCTCGCTAGCAGCACGCATGCTAGGCACTTTGTGCGAGAGAGATGCGTGGTGCGCATGGTGTGGGAGTGCGGTGCGTGGCAAGAGGCCAGCATGCGTGGCTCGCTAGCAGCACGCATGCTGGGCCATGCGAGTAGCGAGGATGCGAGAGATGCTGGCAGCAGCACCAGCACGCACCAACGCCAGCGCCAGCACGCACCAGCCAGCACCAGCGCCAGCACGCACCAGTGAGCATCAGCGATGTTGTTGGGCTTGTGCTAGCATGCTAGGCTAGCTGGCACAGCCAACTGGCACGCTAGCTGGCAGCTGGGCAGCATGGTAGGGTGAGGCGGTTTATGAGGAGAGTGGGGACCAAGGCTTTGGGAAAGCCTTGTGGAGCAAGGCATTGGTCCCCCCACCTCTCCATGGTCCTCACCTAACACAATCTCCTTCCTTGACACTTGTCGAATTGTGATTGCATTTGTTTATTGATTTAATTTTAGAAATAAATTAATTGACAAATAAAACATTCTCCCACATTGGTTGGGGAATGAGAATCAAGGGATCATTTCCCTATAAATACCAAGCTTGGTATTGGGATTTGATACAACCTTGAGTGGAATTAAAAAGGCAACTCTAGAAAAGAGTAAACCTTTGATTCGTAAAACTCATAGTTATTTTGTCCGGGTCTTGACTAACCTTCAAGACTTAGGACGCTCGGGTCGGGTCGAGGGTACGATCAGTCGGAGATCTCGTCTTTTCGGGATTTTGATGTAAAAGCTCTTTAGGAGCGAAGCACGCGTCAAAGGTATAATTCTTGTCCTTAATCTTGTTTGATTAAGTTAATTATGCTTGTTTAATTGCTTTAATTAAGGGGCGGGTCTTGGTGGGTTTCCTTCCGCGTAGTGTCGGGTTACTACGAAACCCTACAGTGGTATCAGAGCCACGCTCCTTTTAATTTTTGCAATTATTATTTAATTGAGGTGTTTTAAAGAATTTATTTTTCTAGTTCATGTTCATCTAATTAGATTAGATCCTCGTTTTAATTAATTTTTAAAACTCGATTTTATTATTGATTTGGCTGTCGAACCCAGATTTTGGCTCAAAAATAGTGATTTTTGGGTGGAATCGACATTCTGGAACCGTTTCATCACTTTTAGGATTGTCCAGAAGCCAAATTCGAACCAGAAACCAACTCTTTCTGGGGTTTTTCGTTTTTCAACGAAAGTTTTAATTCTTTTTAAGCCTTGATTAATGCAAGCATTACAAGGTTAGATTAAATGCACATTTGCATCACTAACCTACTGGCTTTAAAATATCCTTGAGCATAATAATGGAGTGTTTATTAGTGCTTAAGTTGATATACCAAGTAATCACATAAACTTGTTTTTCACAATTTTGCAAATAAATTGCAATAAGGTGTGAAAAACTTGTTGTGATTTTGTATTTTGAGTTCCCAAGTAATGTTAAAGTTCTAATCTTTAAGTGTTTAAATGATTGGAACCCTAACCCTAAATTCCATGTTGAACAAAGTTTGGATTTTTTCATATTTTGGTTGATTAAAATCCATTATGTTCAATTACTTGTGAGTAAAATTTGATTAATCTTCATATTGGAAGATGTAGTCGTGGTATTTTACACAAGTATGCAAGTTGGAAAATTTTATCATTGGATGATTAATTAATTTTTCCAACTCCCCTTTTGTCAAATCCATTATTAATTTGCATATTGGCAAGATTAATTTTGGACATAGCTCATTTTATTTTAAGCATAAAGGTTGACCTAATTTTGTTCAAAATTGAAATTTTGGATAAATTTGGGCTTGTGCACCAATTAAAATAAATTGTTTAAGTTAGACTTAACATTTGTTTTATTTTATTTTTCCCTCAAAATTAATTCTAAAATTTGATTTAGAATTGATTATTGTCGCACACAAATCGAAATTAAATTCCAAGTTAAATGCACGCAAATCACCGAGGCTAGCCAGGCTGCCTAGCAACCCACGTGTAGGCTGCTTGTGGTGCGCATATGGTTGTGCATCGCTTGGTGCGTAGCTGTGTGGCGTGGAGGGGCTGTTGTGTGGTGTATGTGCTGGCACGCAGGGGCCTTAGGCTGCTGGTATGGTTGTGCGGCTGCTGGGCAGCGAGGCAGCAAGCCCCAGCCAGCCAGCCGCCTGATGCTTGTGCCAGCAAGCTGCTAGCATGCGTAGCATGCTGCTGGTGCTAGCATGCTAGGCAGGCTGTGCTAGGCGCACCTGCTAGCTGCCAGCACCACGCACCATGGCACAGGGGCCATGGGCTGCCTAGCAGCCATGGTGCGCCAAGCATCATTGGATGATGCCCTTCTTGCTTAAGGTTGAGCTATGATTTTGCGATTTTTCCCGTATCAATAATTTTAATTAATTATTTTAACGAGGCTAAGAACCTCGATTTTCGATTTTGCAAAATTTTGACAAATTATGGGTTATGCCGACTTAATTAATCGGATTAATTAAGTACGGATGCGGAATTTAGTGGGAGCTTAATTGAATGTGTTGGCATTTTGCGTTTAGAAATAATGGATTAAACCACTTTGACTAGTTTTAATTAGGCGCGTTAATTGGAATAACGACCTAAGTTAGTTACTAGTTTTGCGTGTTTAATTGTGTATTTCGTAAAATTGCATGGGCCGTTCACAAATAGTGAACGGGTGAATGAAAAATTGCTTTCAAAACAGGTTGTTTGAAAAAGGCAACTAGTGGGGCCCGACTAGGATAGAAAATACGGACTGCGTTCCGTTATGTATTTTTGTAAATCTAAATACGGTCTGCGAACCGTTAAGTATTTTTGTACTATTTAGATTAATATTAGTCGTTCTAGCTAGCTTCTTTTATTCCATTTTGGCCAAGAAGTCTCAAGACGGAGTTTCGAGGAAGACGAGCCAAGATGAAGACCCATGGAAATTGAAGATTTCAAGGGGTCATGCTAGTTGCTAAATGCATCTATTTTATGCCTTATATATTGTTTTTATATATGTTTGCTAGATGCATGTCTAGGATTTCTATGATGTTGCGATGATTAGTTAAGTTCACTTAAATAAACCAACATAGAAACCCTAGGTCCCTTTATAATATTGAGCTAAAATTTGCCATTCCAAGGACAACACTTACCGAACTAATGCGCGTACGTGATGGATTACGCCAAAGCGAGGCATCACTACTTCCCTTGGAACGTAAGGTATACTAGGTATACAAGTTGTCTTGGTTAAGCTCAACAATATCAGTAAGGAGTCCTTAGATGTCGTGGCAAAAGAGATAAAATGTCAAGTATGCATTAGATGCGACATTTTATCAAACCGAGAGTAGCTTGGAGCTATTAGCAATTGGATTGCTTACCTTAAGATATTTAATGGTTAAGACAAGCCAAAGCATGCTTATCCATTTCTTGATATTTGGGATCTCGGAATCATTTTATTCTCGCCCATAAGGGACAATCTTAAAATGCGTGGATAAAATGTTCAATAAGTGTGAATAAATGCATGAACGCTTTAAATTTCAACTTATTGATGTATGAATGGTTTTTCACTTCAAATTCTTTCAATTGTAGAAATCATGTCTGCAAGTAACTCGAACAACAACCATATGTGCCCGGAACTCCCCGAAAAGTTGGCCTTTTCCTTAAACTTGGTCAACTTTAAGGAATGGGAAGAGGAACTCAGGAGAACTCTCCGGAATTGCTCCTTGGAGTATACTCTTGATACTCCCATTCCAAGCTTCTTTGCTAAAGGGATCATGACCGACGAGGCTCATGAAGAATGGTCTTCCAATTGCAAAAGGGTCTCACGACTCATGGCAAATTCCATCCCGGAAGACTGGAAGGAAACTCTTTCCTCCTACCTTCCGGACATGTTCCTCAAAGCACTTGAGGACGTTGTCAATGTAAGAGTCACCAAGATTGACAATGGCAACTTTGATGGACTCGTGTTTGACTTGACCAGGTCACTTTCAAACATGAGAATTAAGCCACCGAATGTTGGGTGTCTTGCTAAGGAAAGGCAACGGCTTTGGACGAAGGTCTACAATGCTAAATTGAGACCAGGCATGCCCCTCCGACCTCATGTGCTTGGTATGACTAGGCTCTTCAAACACATGCAGCTTCTCGGAATTCCATTGGAAGATGAGATGGCGGGGCATATCTTGCTTGCTTCACTCCACTCGGGCTATGATGCACTTAGAGTGCATATCGCTGCGGGAAAGGAGACACACTCCCTCAAGGAGGTGGTGCAACTACTCAGCCAAGCCACTGCCTATGGAATGACCAAAAGGCCCTTGAGAGCCAAGAAGAAGGAGTTCAAGAAAGTCAAGGCAAAGATTAGATGCTTCCATTGTGGCATGCAAGGCCATTACAAGAAGGAATGCATGCTCATCAAGGAAGAGGGGATCACTCCGACCACCTCAGGTATCTTCCTTAAAACTTGTGGATTAAGCTTATTATAAGGTATTGGATACCAAGTATGACTCACTTAATGTTGCCTTTTCAGGGACCAAGTGAGAAGCTTATCAAGTGTTGGTGCATGGACAAAAGACGACGAAGATGGTTTTTCGGTCGTGCTTGCATGCACTATTTTGTCTATGACATG